ATATATATATATATATATATATATATCCAGTACAATCTAATAAAAGGTTACTATATTTGTTTTCACGGGTATTAATGTGTAGTATATTCAAGCGGGCAAAAATATATACACATACATTAAAGTGATGATAGTCAGCAGTTACGAATGTTTTCTATTGTTTAAAAAATATTAATAAACTCGCGGTGCATCGCTGTCCACACGGTTGGGTTTATGATGACGTGGAACTGCTGCCAAATATTATTATTTTTTTAGCTTGCCAAAAGTAATTTTCCTATTTTTTTTTTTCTATATAATGAAAAAACAATATATATATATATATATACGCCATTAAAAGTCGTCATCGATATGTGCATCTGTTATCTACACACCCTTTATTGTGTTCGTGTGTGTGTATATATATATATATACACGTGTGTGTGTATACGTGTACGTATTTCTCATTACTGGATGGATATGTTTGATGGGATATTAGTGAACAAGACACAAAGTAAAATCATAATCGCTTTAAGATCACAAATAATCAAAAGCGATTTGGAAATATCAAAGGAAAAAAAGAGAAAACATGTAATCTCATTATGTCCTTGAATTCTTAATTAAATTCGATTTGAAAAAAAAGGATGGTGTTTACCTCTCACGTTCATTTCTTACCTTTTTCCTCTTGGTTTGATGAAGAGGATGACAACCCATCTGATTTGAAAGATGAACACAAATAATTGGATTAGACATCTTGCTTAAATCACAACATTAATCTCAAAATCCCCCAATACATTTTTTTTAATTCTATTTATTCACCTAATTTATATATTCACCCCCCTCTAATCATATCTTAGGAAAAATCCTTTTCATATCGCGGTTGGATTTTTTTGTCTATTGGGAATCTAGAAAAACAATATCAGAAAAAAAAGACAAAATTTAATTAGGAAATATGTAATTGGAAAATAACAAATAATCATAGGGCTCACGGCCTTAATTAGGGACAAACATGACCACATGCGTTAGTCACGTCTTTATTATGCGGTGTTAACAATAACGACGTCGCTTTGGTCCAATAGGACAACATTCTGAGTTGGAATTATTAAAAGATTTAATAAGCATATGGCCTAGCGACTTGCATTACAATTTCCTCCGAGTGAACATTCGTGTACGTACATGACGCCATGAAAAAAAGTTTAATCTAAGTTATTTAATTCTTTCTTTATAATCTGGAAATTCACCGGGTTTTCGGCTTAACTATATCTTCCGGAAGAACGAAGAAGTTTAGGTGAATACCTTTTCCCATGTTTAGATTAGAACCCAAGATAACAGTATGATTTGCATTTGCATGTGCTCCTACCATTAGGGACATTTAAAATTTAGACACATATTATAATACATGGTACTTCAACTTGATGATGACGATGATGATGATTTTGAACGAGGGAGACAAAGATGAGTTCAGCTTTTGGTCGATCGGGGTTTTTGTTATAATGTCAGCTTTAACGGAGAAATATTATCATAGCAAAGTTGACTTTAATGTATAGAGAGAGAATGAAGGGATCGATCACATTTTAAAGGTTTCATGAAAGGGTGTGTCGATTATAATTCTATATAAAGTCTATATAGACATGTGTTATATGGTCCCCTAAATTATAGCTACAGTTACTACCGTATTGAAAAATATGAAGAGTTTCAATTCCTATTAAGTTTAGATATTAGTGTATTTTTTATTTAGGTTGGATTTATATATTTTTATAATTAGAATAGAAATTAGGAGTTCTGTTTAGACCTACGTTATATATTGAAACTCATTCGGTCATCAATAATACAATAAGGTTTTATTTTCTACAAATTTTGACATACCGAAATGTTAAAAAGTTAAAACTAGAAAATGCAAATGGTCTTGTGATACGTCTTACATAATATGGGAATCTAATAAATTAATCAAATCCATCCTACAAAACCCAACTATTTTTTTTAAAATCATGCAATTTTGTGGACTGAATCATATGATCCATATCCCACATATATTTGACGTGTGAAAAAAAAAACGAAGATACTTGAAAAAGCTAATCCGGCCTATTTTCATCGCATTGATTTTTTCCAAATTGGACCCAAATTCATCTAACAGGGCCCGGCCCAACTGGTCTAGAGAGATATTTTGTTCAAAATTAATGATATATATATTCTTCACTAAATTACTCTTATATTCATTCATGTGTTTTGTACTTTAAAAACCGATGTAAAATACAAATTGGTCTGGATTTGCGAAATTTGGTACTTTAAAAAACTCGAAAGCTCCTCTTAACATCTCATAGATCATAGATAAACTTTTGTATGTTTGTATACCACTTGTCATGGATTTCTGTAGAATTGCGAATGATTATTGTTTATTTTGAAAAAGTATTATATATAATATGATTCACATTTTCATAAAAATTAACGACATCTTCAATGAAAGAGTTTCATTGTAATATTCGATATTATTATGAATTATTATATCGGGATATTCTTTTTCTTCCATCTAGGTAGAACGCTCTGGAAATTGTTTCGATACGAAATTTGATGGATTATAATGATGCCCATTTTTCATACAAATCTTAATCTGTCGTAGAGTTCATTGTGATATGGGGACAAACCTAAGCTTGAACGGACAAAAAAACCCAGAGGACACTGAAAACAAGCAGGGGAGATGGGGGCGTGATGATTGGAAAGATTCAGAAGGAGAGTAGATAACGGAGATTTAAACGGCGTTATGAACGGCGCAGCTACTGCTACTGCAGCATTCGACGGAATGTTGCAGTGTACCGGAGACATTGCCATTGCCACAGCCATTGGTGACATCATCGGAAGCATGTAAGGTCGAATTCCCATCGACATAACCTGGAATCATGATCATATTGTATATATATATGGTCAATATATACACCACCACCATATGAATATATACTCAACGGATGTGAAATGAAAACCTGCAACTGAAGCTGAAGGCTCTTCATATAGTCTACGGCCTTGTCAAGAACTGAAGCTTTGTCCGCCTGAAAGATGAAAACCGAAGAGAATAGATGAAAACGTTATTTAATTACGCATACAGTATATTTGTATGTTTGCGTGTATATACACTAACCTCATTACAGTTCGGTATAAGATTCTGTAACAGACGAATCTTCTGATTTATTTTAGCTCTTCGTCTCTGTAAGCATTAACCAGAATAAATATGATGATTCGATCCATTAATGAGGGGAAAATTTATTTATTTTTTTATATAATTGGGTTTCTTTTTTCTTTTTTCATCGAGTTAAAAACTTACCTTAACAGATGAACTGGTACGAGGTTCCACAACTCGTTTCCTCTTGGAACTTTTGCGTGGCAGCGAAGGAACCTCTCTCGTAAACCCATCTGATGTTTCTTCGACAAACTCCTGAAAATTAACAATCATTTTGAGGCAAACAAAATGTAAAACAAGCGATTACTATTTGTTTTGTCGGTTCTGTATAGGTAACTGCGCATGTATTCACATACATCACTCGAACTGCCGATACAACGTCGGAGGTTTCCGTATCTCTTCCTCGGACCGCGTCGAGAACGGCCGCGGCCTGTTTCAGAATGCTCGTCAGGAACTGTAAATTCTGCATCTTTCGTCGAATTCTCTTGTTCTTGATCGTGAAATCCCTTCGTCGAGATCTTTGATTCGTCACGGATCTCGACAGTGAATTCTTGAGTGTCTTCAAGCCGTGGAACAACTTGAGGGCCCGTCTGAAATTTCTCGCACATGATCATCATCATGTCTTCCTTGTGATTGTGATAATCACTTGGGGTTTCAGCCATTTTCTTGTTGCTTGCGCCGAGTTTAATCATCTCAGACATTTTCAGATCATGAAGTCTGTCCATTCTTCGTCTCAGTCCCACGATATCTTGATCAAACCTGCAAATTAGGGTTTTTAGCATATGTAACATCGAAAAATAGTTGGGATATGGAAAACCCAGAAAATTCGAAAACAATGAAATTGAACAAAACATACATGTGGATGGATTCAGAGAACTCGGATCGGAGAGACGAGGGAGGAGATTCGAGAAAGTTCTGGACTTGATGAGGATGTTGGAATCATAGAAAGAACTCGTGTCTGCAAAAATGGAACCTGGTTTTAATTTATGGCCACCGACTCAGGTCATCAGAGAGCCCGTGGGTCCATGCCACGTGGACATATTGAGTGTTGGATCATATTGTAATTCCATTTATCATATGCTTCCCTATCAATTAGAATTCATCATTAAAATATACAACCATCTCAGTCGATTTTTATATATTTTAACTGCAAGTATTATGCTTATAGTCTACGATGATCGTGTATATTTTTTATTTGTTTTTTAATCAACAGTAATGTTGGAGTGTGATATTTTGCTCCCATGACTATAGTTAATTCGTAAACTAAGGTTTGGTCCATTTTATGATTTATACATTAATTTCTCGTTTTCATATATGTGCTTTCCGGTCCATCTCATTTTCCTTTTGTGCATTTAATACGATTTATTGATTTCTTGCCAATTACTTTTGCCAACATATGACATTATTTTATTAAAAAAAATTTAAATTGTGTACCCTTGGTCAATGCACACTAGTGTATATATAACTTGTGTAATATCTATAAGACTGTAACCGCATAATATTATAGCTGAGTCTATATTCGAACTAATTTTCAAACGACGCACTGCGATAAATTTAGAAGAGGATATATATATATACATCATGATTTATAATGCCAAGGCTATGATATTCATGATCATATGCATGTGTACAATTTATATATATATCTGTAACTACGAGAAGATATAGCAGAACTTTGAAAATCTAGCAAAGATAGATAATATATAAGATTTAATTTTGAATATATATATATATATATATATTGTGTTAGGGTTTTGATTCATATATGAGCCCACGTGGGACGTGGTCCAAGATCGCAAGAAGAACCTCTGTTTTGGGAGCCCACACTCACAGCATGATGTATGGTCATTTAGGATCATGTCGCCATTGCTTCAGCCACGGGACCATGTTTTTCAATGGATTTGGTAACGATTTTCTATTATTTTTCTGTCAATATTATGATTGAAATATCTTTATTAACACATGTATTACGATATTTATAAATAAAAATAGAATCATAAAAAATCTTATTTTTAATTCATATAAATATCTAAAATATAAAATTAAAATCAAATCTAAATATTAAATAATATTTTCAAATTTTCTTCATGTTTTTTGAAAAATATTATAAATATAAAGCGGAAGATTTTGGATACATTATATGTATAGATTTAGTTTATACAAATCAAGTGAAAAGTATATGAAGATACAAATCTCCTGTATATAAAGCTATTTCAATAAGAGAGGACAATTGTGAACGATTCTTGAAGAAAAAAATGTTCAATTAGAACGTATTTATTATCTTTTTTCCATGCATGGGGGCCGAATACGAGACGTCAAAATCAAGATCCTAAAGTTAGGGGAGAAAAAGCGTGTCGTTCACGTGATCCCTCGTGATGGACACTCCATGATGTTTGCTCTGTCTGCTTCTGCTTTCCCATCCATTGGTTCAGAGCGAGCGACGACGCAAAACCACATCCACTCCATGTCCCCATCCCATAAACGACAGCGACTTTTTTTGGTCTTTACTTTGGTTTCAATGATTTTGTATTTTTTCAAATATCGGCATATATGGTCAGGGTTTTATATGTCAATCAATTATAACGATGGCATTATCTTATTAGCTTAGCCTATTATACACGCATACGCTTTTTTTTGTACGTGTACATATGAATTCTTATTGAACTTTTTTTTGGCAGGTCCCTTGGTTTTTAATATATATATATATATATATATATATATATATATAAAA